ATCATCATCATCATCATCATCATCATCATCATCATCATCATCATCATCATCATTCAGAGGAACATCAGAACCAGAACCAGCACTGGATGGGTGGTCATTTATTCTATCAGCAGTCAGAAGACAAAAAATGATTTCTGTGGTTCAGGTGTAGTTTCTATGGTTCAGGTGTAGTTTCTATGGTCCAAGTGTAGATTTTATGGTTCAGGTCTAGTTTCTATGGTCCAGGTGTAGTTTTTATGGTTCAGGTGTAGTTTTTATGGTTCAGGTGTAGTTTCTATGGTCCAGGTGTAGTTTCTATGGTTCAGGTGTAGATTTTATGGTTCAGGTGTAGATTTTATGGTCCAGGTGTAGTTTTTAATGGTTCAGTGTATTTTGTATAGTCCAGGTGTAGTTTCAATGGACCAGGTGTAGTTTCTATGGTCCAGGTGTAGATTTTATGGTCCAGGTGTAGATTTTATGGTCCAGGTGTAGTTTTTATGGTTCAGGTGTAGTTTCTATGGTTCAGGTGTAGTTTTATATGGTCTAGGTGTAGTTTCTATGGTTCAGGTGTAGTTTCTATGGTTCAGGTGTAGTTTATATGGTTCAGGTGTAGTTTCTATGGTTCAGGTGTAGTTTCTATGGTTCAGGTGTAGTTTCTATGGTCCAGGTGTAGATTTTATGGTCCAGGTGTAGTTTTTATGGTTCAGGTGTAGTTTCTATGGTTCAGGTGTAATTTATATGGTCGACGTGTGGCTTCTATGGTTCAGGTGTGGTTTCTATGGTTTGGGTGTCTATGGTCAGTGTGTAGTGTTTTTGGTTTAGTTTTATTGATCCTATAGCAGCACAACTGAAGGATAACCCAGTAAACCCACAGCAACACTAACTATTGGTTGGTTTCAGTCCTGTCTGTCCAACAGAAAACAATCTGAGAGTGTTGGTGACATTATGTCGCCCTACCTCGAATGTCCAGCAGGGATCCCACAAGGTTCTATTTTGGGACCAGTATTGTTGACCTCCCAAATGTCTGCCAAAATGTCCATTTTCAAATGTGTGCTGATGATGCTGTTATTTTTACACCTGCTAATAGTACACAGGAAGCATCATCTGTTCTTACATTAGCCCTGGAGAATGTCCAGCATTGGCTTCTTAAATCTTGTCTGTTATTGAACAAAAAAAAAAACTGTTTCTATGATGTTCACAAAATGACTCACAAAACTGCAGCAGTCCAATGTGTTCTTGGGGGGAGTGGAACTTGACCTTGTAGACCAATTCAAGTACCTTGGGGTCACACTGGACCCACCACTTTCATTCAAAAAAACATATCAAACTTACTGCAAATACAATTAAATTCAGTTTACAAAACTTTAGGCAAATCAGATCATCAATGACAATTAGTTCTGCAAAAATGTTCCTCCACTCAATGATATTCTCACACACTGACTACTGCATCACAACCTGGTCACTCACTGGAGACACAAGTTTAAAACCAATAGAAATGTTATTCAAAAAATCTTTAAAAATCTTTGATCAAAAGCCTTTGTCATTCCATCAGTGTAACATTTTAGCAAAATATAATATGCTCAGTTTAGAAAATTGTATTCATTTTAAAAATAGTTGTTTAAAATATAAAGTTCTTCATGGCTTAACTTCACCTCCACTCTAGTTATATTAAACCAAGGACTGACAGAGGTTTTAGCACCAGAGCCTCCTCCAGAGGAGATCTAGAGGTTCCTCACAGGAAAACAACATTTGGACAAACTGTCCTGTCAGTCAAAGGAGGTCACTTTTGGATCAGTCTCCCAACCAATATAAGGGAATGTCCCAGTTATTGTACATTTCAAAAGCATCTTAACCAGTTTCTTAAAAGCTCCCAGTCACGCTCTCACTGATTAATTTTAAATCTATTGTTGTATGTAATTGTCTGGACATGGATTTGTGTGTGTGTTTGTATGATTGTATAATGTGATATTAAGTTTTTTGTTCTTTTGAACATCTTGTGTTGTTTAAATATGTGAACTATAGGATCACACTTCGCTATCTGAACTGTTGATTTTCACACATTTAATAGAAATTATTTTAGTTAGAAACTGTAAAATCTTCTGCAGATAAAATAAAATCTGAACTAAATGTATAAATTGGTTTAAGTAAGTCAAAGTACTTTAAAGTAACGTTAGTTTTGAAGCTGAAGTGAGCGTTAAATTACATTTCTTGTCCTTCATGAGGCGTTTAAAAGTCCCCTGTGAGCTTCCTGTGTCCTGACGGCACTCCTGGGTTTTCAGATTATGACTTTAATGAGTTCAGAGACGTAGATGTGGACGTGAGTCAGCAGCTGTAGAGGGCTTCCTCCGAGTGGCTCTGCATCGAGTTACGTAACGAGAGCAACAGCAGTGGAGCTGCATGAACACACACACCTACACACACACACAGTCCTTGAATCCACGTCTTCAGAGAACATTATGTTCACTTAACCCACTCAAGGTAACGCTGACCTTAAATAAACTGGTTTATATTAAAAGAGCCTCTTCAGGAAGGGAAAGTCCTGATAAAGTGAGAAAAAGAGGCTCAAGCATCAATAAAACACAACGCAGCAACAGCAAGAAGCAGGAATTCACACTTTTCTCCGCTCTTGGTTGCATAACATTCTGCTCAGTTTGGCTCTAACGAGCTGTTGGCACCACTTGTAACTGGCGGCTTTCAGAATTAATAGATGTGCATCCTTTTTTCATACTGCCTTTTCAACCTCTCGCCTCCAGAGTGACTGAGAAAATCACAACACAGCTGCAGGAAAAGCTTCTGCTGCTGAAGCTGGAGGCACGTCGGCGCAGCTCGAAGCCATTGTGATTTTTAACTAAAACGCAGTGGTGGGCAGCACTAATCTAAAAATTACTGGCACTAACCCTAAAGCACTAATTTTAATATTTAGGTCGCCTAATTCTAAAGCACTAACA